TTTCCAACTCCTTGCTATTGTGAACAAAGCCACAATAAACATGGCTGTGCAATCTTGCTTAACAATTTAACCAGCTGTTACTCTTCAATTTCTTCGTCACCATCTTGCTATTAGGGTCAAACTCAAACTGTGATGATCCACTGAAGAAATAAAAGAATCCTGCAAATATAGATGAGATAATAATGAGCCATCCTTCAAGCAAATCTGTTTTACAACATGCATAACATATTGATACATGTTGAACAATTTGGTAATGAATGACATTTACTGAGTGGTCACTTTGTGCTACACTAAGTATGCGTGTTTTATCTCATTTATTCTTGAAAATAAAACAAAGATATTCCTAATGAAAAAAAATAAAACCCCAGAAAATTATGCCATTTTGAAGATTCTTTAAAAAATGTCACTAATAAAAGATGAAGGAAAGCTTCATTTTCTCTTCATCTGACTTTAAAGTCATTGCTTTGAAATACTGGATTATACCTTCTCCAAAGAGAAAAAGTTATACAATATATTTGAAACCATAATATATTTTTTTCTCTTTCTTCTAATCTCTTGTTCTTTCTGTTCTAATCAAGTCCTAAATCACAACATGAGAGGAATTGAACCCAAGAAAATCAGGCCAATGATAAAATATATCAGATTTAACTTCTTGCTTTGCATACATTTTTATTATCTTAGTGATAATATTATAAATTTCATGAGCATTAGATTTTGAAGCTTTGGTCCCTTTTTTTCTCCCTCCAGAAAAAACAACAAACTTTTTTCTTTTCTTTCTATCCATTATCACATTATCAAGAGTCTTTTTTTCTTTCTTTTTTTTTTAGTATATAGGAGGTGACTAATTTCTTAGAAGGGAACTGGTGACATATTGTAAAAAGTTGCACTGCCAACACAGAATTATGCAGTTTGAAACAACCAGCTTTCTGCATCGGAGAAAGATGGTCAACCTTCTTTGATGCAATTAAATGCCTCTGAAACTTCACTGCATGGTCAGCTGTGGGTCACTTCTGGCTCAATGGTACAAATGACCACTGGTGATAAGGTCATGTGGTAACACAAGGTCAGAGGTAGTCCTTTGGGATGAAATCGCAGAGAAAGGGCAATAAGAGTGAATTGAATGGAAGACAGTTAATACTGAACTATAATCACACTTACCTTTATTTATTTTAAACGTGCAACTATCTTTCCAAGTTGTTGAAGAACAACTACCTCAGTTTAAAAATTAAAATGATCCTGATACAAATGTTTAAATTATTTGCTACTCATCAGAAAGTTGAACAGTGCATAAAAATGACAGAATAAGAATCTATGCCATTGAGTTGTTGTATTGGAAAAGAGTACTGATATCCCATGGAGTGTCAAAAGAACAAAGAAAGATGTCTTTGGGAAGATGCAATCAGGATGCTCCTTAGAAGCAAGAATAGTGAAACTTCATCTCAGATTCTTTGGACATGTTGTTAGGAGGGGTCAGTTCTTGGAGAAAGACATCATACCTGGAAAGGTAGGACATTAGCAAAAGGAAGGGAAGACTCTAACAACAAGCGCAAGCACTGAAGAGATGAGTTTGGAACAGGATAGGGCATGTTTCACATCCATTGTTCATAAGGTCACTGAGTCACCTCAAAGGCACTTAACAACAACAACAACATACACGTAAGCTGTGCGCAGGTGGCCTCAATGATTAAGAGTTGCAGTGCCTACTTAAAGGCAAACAGTTCAAATATCTGAGCTGCTCAAGTTAGAAAGATGGACAGTCTCCTCCTATGTTATTTACAGCCTCTGAAATGTACTAGTCAGCCAGTCATGTGTTGGTTCCAAATCTAAGACAGTGAACAACAACGATCATGTTAAGATGGAGCTCTGGAGATTCACTCCCAGAGCCAGCACATGAAGTGCTAGAGAAAGGAGCTGCATGCTACACTGCTGGACAAAACTGCTCCATTATGGGAACCTGGCCATGTCACTCTGCAGACCAAAGAGGACAACAGACTTCAGAAGAAGAGACTGTCATCAGCTAAGAGATTCACCTCCAGAGTCAGCACATTGAAATGCTAGAAAGAGAGCTGTGTGTCATCCCCCTAGACAGAAACTGCTCCAGTTCTTGAAGCTGGGCCCCCACTTAGCATGCCAAAGAGGACAGTAGATTTCAGAGAGTGAGCTGCAATCAGATGAAATACTCACTCCCATGGCTGGCACATTAAAGTGCTAAGGGAAGGAAATGCTGGAAAGCCCCTGAAAATTCTTAAGTTTGGAAACCTGATCTTTCCACTTTTTAGACCAAAGAGGACAATAGACTTCAGAAGAAGGGCTAAAATAAAAAGAGATTCCTGCAGGCCTGCATTGCAGTCCAGAGAGCAGCTGAAGGATTTGAAGAATGGCAAATATTCCTGCTTCCCAGGTGCAGAAAGGATATTCAGTGGAGCCAGTTGTCCACCCCCATAGATGGAACACTTTAAGCCTGCAACTAATCAATAATATAATAAAGAACCATTAATAACCTATGCAGATACAATATAAATGGCCTAAAACATACCAACAAAGAGTCACAGAATGTCAAGAAAATAGTAGGCAGCATCAAACATTGTGGAAAACAAAATAAGCCTTCTCCTAAAAAAAGCAGAGCATTTTGCAGGCCAAATGAATACCCAGAGAAAGGGAGGTAGGAGAAATATATTGATGTGGAATCATATGAACCACTACTGGAAAAGGTACAAATGATGGAAGAAAGAATAGAAGCCATAAATAAAGTGAATACTTCAGAGACAGGAAGTCAGAAGAAATATGTCAAGATAGAGGAACATGAGCAACTATGGAAGGGATTGCAAAGGATTGCAGAAAAAGTTGAAATTATGCATAAAGAGATACAAGAACTTAAAAGCCATCACAAGAGAGCAAAGATACAGCCAACACAATACTGGGAATACCAGAAGGCATGACAATGTAATCCAGAATATGCAATTAAAATGGCAGAAATGTCCAACATGCTGAAAGGATAAAAAAGAAGAATTAGAACAAAGAGTCAGTAATGTAGATGACAAGAACCTTAATAGGATTTAGAAGAAAAAAATCAGAGATGAAGTGGAAGGAAAATTAAGGAAACATTAGAATTATGTGAAGTAACACCAAAAGGGAAAAGGTAATATATGATTGGAATTCTGGAATATGAGGAGGACAAGGAAAACACTGGGAAAATTGTACAAAAGGTGCTAGCCGAAAAATTCCAAGGTATCATGAAGAATGAGAAAATCGCATACAAGAACTCAACAAACCCCAAACAGACTAAAAGAAAAACATCAAGACATACTATAGTAAAATTTTCCAAAATAAAATGTAAGGCTAGAATACTAATTGCTGTGTGAGAAAAACAGAGTCATCTACAGAGGAGAACCAATTAGATTAAGTACTGATTTCTCAGTAGAAATTATGAAAGCAAGAAGACAAGTGGATGACATATATAGAAGGCTGAAAGAAAACAATTGCCAGCTGCAGCTCCTGTAACTAGCAAAGCTATCTGTTAGATATGAATGAGAAATTAGGCTATTTTTAGAAAAGCAGATAGTAAAGGAATTCATGGAAACAAACTAACTCTACAAAAAATTCTAAGAGAAGTTCTTCTCACAGGGACACCAAAGAAAAGTGGATGAACCATAGTAACCAGAAATAACAGAAAAAGAAACACAACAAAAGGCAGTAATAAAATCTAACATGTTAGGGAGCTCTGGTGGTCTAATGGCAAGAAGCTGTGCTGCAATACTAAAGGTGGGTGGTTTGAATCCACCAGATGCTCTGCTGGAGAAGGAGGGGTATTCTCCTCCTGTGCCAATGGATCTAATTTGACAGTACACTGTGGGGGGGCACAAACCAAACAACAACAATGGGAACCCCACACACACATATACAAACCCAAAAATATCCCACAACACACCTGACATATTAATAATGTGAATGGCTTAAATGCACCAAGTGAAAAAGAGTAGCAGAATGGATTTTAAAATCAAAGTTAATCAATATGCTGCCTACAAGAGACACATCTGAAAAATGAAGATAGACACCCCTTCAAAGAAAATATCAAAGGCTGGGAAAGAATAACCAAGCTGATAGCATCCACAAAAAAGGAAGAACAGCAATACTAGTCTCTGATAACACAGACTACAGAATGAAAAAAAGTATAAAAGATATGGAAGGGCACTGTATAATTATTAAAGTCTCAATAGCTCAAGAAGTCATAATCTTGGTCAACATCTATGCACCAAAAAATAGACCAGCAAGGTAAATAAAACAACAGTTAACAAATTTTAAGAAAGACATAAGCAGCATCCCAATAGTACTGGAGACTTAAAAAAAAAGTTATTATTAATTTCAATGAAAATTTACAGACTTAGAATTT